TCTCTCTCTCTCTCTCTCTCTCTCTCTCTCTCTCGCTTACGCTCTCTCACTCTTACTCTCTCTCACTCTTACTTTCCCCTTCTCCCCTCTCTCGCACACTCTCTCTCCCTGTCTAATGTTTTTACGATCGGAATTTCGCGACTACGTCGAATTCGATCAGTTAGATTATGTCTCACAGGTTGTTTATCATGCGTTCTCTCGTCTTCGCAGCTCGCCCAGCTCCTGCCCATGGAAGAGAACTTTCTGCTGCTCTTCAGAGTGGATAACCCGCTGGAGTCGAGCGTCGAGTTTATGAGGGTGAGTTCACTGGTGGGCGTGCACGTGGCGCCATCTATAAAAAACATCGTCATCGTCCCGTGGGTGTCGTCACTGCGCGTTCACGTGGCGCCATCAAAGAAACAGCGCCATCATGCGTGATGCGTTCACGTACACCACCTTTGTGACCTCACGTTGGATTGTGAATACTCGGGTGACGCGCGCTCATGTGGCGCCATCTATGACGTTGCGCCATTGTTTCTAACGTCGTCGCTCACAGCTATCAGTGGTTCATCTGTGCATATAGCAAGTTCTCGTCAACCGTGTATCAGGCGTCAACTACACGCATCGATATCACGACAGCTCCGGCGCACTCTGGCACGGGAGTGATCATAAAATAAACATTCGACGCTCGCACTAGCTAATGATAAATTCAAGCTCTCTCGCGGCTGTAACGCGAATCGAGCCCGCCTGCATATAAACTATGTATAGGTGCAATCCATTAGGTACATGTGATCAGTTATGTTCGATACATCATAGTCAGCACATGTTGCGCTAGTTATTAGATTATACGAAATAACACACGATGCAAGTGCTACAGAGTAATCGGAGAGTGACGTGTAAAAATGAAATAAATAAAAAAATAATATAATATATAAGATGGCTCCGCGATGCAATTAGTCATCCGAGGGCGTTGTTATCACAATGCGATGCCTGCAGCGGCAAATCTATTTAAGTTGCGCTATTTAACGCGTGTCGTTTTACCGCGCGTTGTCGTTCCCTGCTTCAATGCGCGCACCATGCTCGTATCCTTGAACTAAGAACATGTTCCCGAGCGACGAGAGAGCTTTTTTTGCGAGCGAATGCGGAACGTGAAGCTTGATCACTGGAGATGCTCGGAGCGCAAGATGGCGGCTAAAAGGTTTAGCGGGCAGCCCGACGATGCGGCTCGTACTCACCCGGCGTGCATTTACGGCTCAACGTCGCCGCCTTTTCAACGCGTGACGCGGCTAGGTGCACCTACGAGACGAAAAACCGCGCGCGCTTAAAACGCCGAGTACGCACCACGGTCGCGGGTAAACACGCGTATTGTCAGACATATGATGTCGGCAGTGAAGGGAGTGGTGCAACACTTGTGAGCAGCGACGCTTGTTGTATACGTTTCCACGATGAAATGGAGCATTTCTCATCATGTGGACGTACGTGTGCGCCTGGCAACGACAAAGAGAAAGACGAATTACGAGAGAGAGAAAGAGAGAGAGAGATAGAGAGATAGAGAGAGCGAAAGAGAGATAGAGGGGCATGCATGTACGCGCCACGCTCGTAATTCTTGGCACGTGTTTGCGCACATCTCCTCGCACGCCGCTTCGTCCACCTCCTAACAGAGCTTCGGAGTCCCCTGGTGAGAACGTAATTACGCCGCGCTCTCTCATTACGCGGGAACGAAGCGTTGAACGGCCGTCGAATTCAAATTAGCTTTCGCGAGACATTTCGATACACGCGCGACGTCGTCTGTAGTGACGGCCATTCCTCTTCCTCGTCTATCTTCGTGGCCACCCGCTAATTCGCCCGCCACCGCTCGCCTTGCCGTTGTCTTACTCTTAGCTTTGATGGTGGGTGTCCATCGTAGCGGGTTGCCATGGACGCGCGTACACGGCGAGCGAACCGCGTTGTAATTACCGCCCCTTGGGCAGCGTGAATGCTAAATTGTTAATTAAAATGGCGGACGGGGCACGTGCCTAATTGGATGTAAAACAAGACGACGTTCGTTCCCCGCGCCGGGCTATTCACGTACCGTTTGTTCTCACTTGGCAGTTATGGAAGAAGTACGACAAAGACCATAGCGGTTTCATCGAAGCTGATGAGTTAAGGGTGAGTTTTACGTTATATTTCCGAGTTCGCACGGTAAGTTAATCTGTTTATAGTCTTTAGATAACTCTCACTTACTTGCTAAGAGCTAAGGGTGAGTTTACCTTACCGCAGATCGAGAGCCCGCTTGTTGAGTTAGCTAAACACTCTATAGTCTATAGGTTGACTTGCACTTTCAAGAACGCGTCAACTGCTCTTTAATTCTCGCAAAAATCGATGGTAAGAATCGACCGCGACAAGCGTCGCTGTTGTTCTTTTTACGTTCGAACTTACATTCCCGCTGACATTTTTTGTCTTTTGACGAGCGGCTGAGTGCACGGCAACTGCCTTCGATCTTCGATGTTTGCGTTAGATTTTTTGTTGATGAGCGCGCTTGCTTAAGCTGGTCATCTTTATACTGATACCTGCAGGCAGCTGTATAGTCAACACTGCTCTCTCGCTCTTGTTTCTAGCAATTCCTTAAGGATCTGCTCGGGGAGAGCCACAAAGAGGTCTCTGAGGAGAAACTTGTCGAATATACGTCAATAATGGTAAGCTATATAGGCGTAGGCAAAAGCGGTTACTCGCGCACGTACGCACACGCACGAACACACACGCGCACGTACGCACACGCACGAACACACACGCGCACACACACACACACACACACACACACACACACACACACACACACACACACACA